AATTTTAAAATAAAACTGGTCAAAAAAAAAAAAAAAAAAAAAAAGGAAACAGCGCCCAAAACCGAAAAATAAATGTAAAGTTTTAAACGTATACAGAAAAAATGGAAAATTTAGCAGGAATCTAAACATTTATTTCTTATTCTTACTAAATATCCTTTATTAATATAATTATTTAATTAATTATGAATAAAAGATAAAACTCCTGACATGTGTATATAACTAGATGCTTGTTTGATATTTTCTGTTACAGTATTTTGATTTAACTTGTTTGGGTTACGACGAGTTTCGTTGCATATGGACCATCATATGGAGAGTTCAAACTTGTTTGGAGACTTCTGGCACACACGACTCATTCCCCAATTGTCAAAGTATTAGCGGTGGGAAAGGAAATATTTCCATTTTCCAACAATTCTAGCTGTTGGGCCCCACTTAGCATTACTTTTCAATAATCTTACCTAACAAAATTAACATCTGAAATGTGTTCTTATACCAAGATTCCCCAAATAAAAATACTCCCAACATTATACGAAAAGGAAATAGTAACTTATTTCCGAGTAAGAAAATTACATATTTGTTCTGTTTTATGTTCTAATATATAATATTTTTGAAATCTTATCCGTATCCAATCTATATCTATATCTATATATTTATTATAAGAATGTATAAATACTTAGTAGAGAGAGGTGAAAGAGACGAACAATGGTAAATTGGCTGAACTGAATTACCTTCTTATTCAAACACTTACTAGTTACTACTATCTGGTAAAAAAAAAAATATATATATATATACAGAATCAGAAGACAAGCACAACTTTTTTATCTATCAGTAACCAAAACCATAATGAAAGTCCAACTCAAAACTAGAAAACGCTCTAGATTTCCAAGCTACAAACAAAATCAAAACCTTAAAAGCTATAACATATTCACTTTACATGACATACTATGCTCTCAAACATGGGTTTGAGGAGAATTACCATATGGATTGGCCCGAGCTCTGCTGGGCACAACTGGCTCATTCGTGCATTCATTTGCCTACTTGATGTACTGAGAGAGCCACCTAAAGCCTTCACCATAACCCATCTTGCGGACAATGCTGCACATGAAGACCTCGAGGGGTCGGACATTGGTGTCAGCCAGATAGACTTTCCCCTTGCCAGTGGTGAAGTTGGTGAGGCCCATGTGGTAACGCAATTCATCTTCCGAGGATGCATAAGGCAAGTCAATCTTGTTCCCTAAGATGAGGAATGGGACATTGGCCAGTGACTCATCGGACAGGAGGGCGTCAAGCTCCTTTTTTGCCTCCGCAAATCTCTCCTTGTCGAAGGCGTCAACTAGGTACACCACAGCATCAACCTAAATGGTCAAAACAAACATTAGAGTGAGCAATGGTGTATCATATCACTAAAGGGAAGTAGAAATCGTCATCTCCAAGGTAACATTAGAGTGAGCAATGGTGTATCATATCACTAAAGGGAAGTAGAAATCGTCATCTCCAAGGTTCAAACAAAAAATAATAACTAGCTTTAGTTCAGTTAACTCAGTTTGATATGGTAAACATGCCAACCAAATGTTTTATGCCAATGTCATACTACAAACGTCCAAACTTTTTTATGGCATTATGATGCAAATGCTGAGCTTCTTTTCTAGACCAAAAAGTCTTTCATCGTTCTAGAAAGGGTGAATTGCGGCTCCAGTCCCAATCGTTTGTGTCACATTTAGGTCCCCAATGGTTAAAACGTGCCATGGGGGTTCCAAAGTAACAAAAACAGTTGACGGAATTGGAGGGAAAAACCTTATGTGCACTGATTTCATTGCTTTAGGGACCCACGTGCTACATTTTAACAATTGGAGATCTAAGACGCCAAGACCTAAAAAGAAATAATTAGAGACCCGATGGGCAGACCCAATCTGTCATGCTTGGGTAGGCCATGAGCTCGGGGATATTGGGTTTTAATTTTTTAAGTGACAAGAGCCTAGGCGATCGTGCTAATATTGGAAGAACCCCGTTTCTTCAGCCACTACCCCACTCAGGATTGGATGTGCATACAGGACTGATGATATCTTATTCACATTTCCCAACTTTTACAATTTGTATTATTGGCATTCTGCTTTCTCAAAGGAGCCACATCTGTTCTGTTGACCAACTGTCAACAGCTTGATGACCTGAACGGCAATTTTCCCTTTCTACAACAATTGCCTTGCCCATAGGTGAATGCACAAATTAGAGATTAAACACAAAACCTATAGGCTACATAAAGCAAAGTTCTAAATAATTACTGTCTTCTCCTTGATTTAACACATTAAAAAAGAGAAAAAAAATGTTTTAAATATTGGGAGAGCATTTATTTTAAGGGCCAAAACTATAGTCAAACATAATTAAGTTCTGTGGCTTTACAGTACCCCACGGTCTAATTAAGCGATAATGACACAACCAAACCATAATAAGGGAGGTTCAATGGTCAAAGAAACGAAAAGCTCATCAACCAACCGTCCTCACAACACAAACTTCATCGTTTTAAACGATAACAAACAACCAACATAGTGATCAGGCCATCACCTTTCAGACTAATAATATGATATGATGTTATTTGAATTCAAACAACCAGGAAATGCTCTTATGCAGAAGAAGACAGAGAAGATATATTCTTTTTCATTAGCGTTTAAAAATGATATTTTTAAAAGGCTTAATATGACATTATTGAAATTATTGTACAAAATTTCAAGTATTCTCATAAGAACTTTCTTGAAAAACCACATTTTGTTACTTCAATTGGAAGCTATATAACAGAACCAAAACTCTTCAAAACTCATACAAATACTCTAAATAATAAGTAGTGAACTAAGAAGCCAAAATGGAGATTACAGAAACAAATCATTATGCTAACTAAAACAAGATAAAGCCAACAAAATTCTTCCATGGAAATAAACTAGAGCTCCATAATTCAAAATTAAAGATTTTCTAAAAGAAACCATATTATAACTAAGTCTTAAACACCCAAAACATAACTCAAAATCAGATTTTTCGAAATTAATTAATGAAAATACCTTGGCGTAATAGTCCTTCCAAACTCTGCGAGCGATCTGGTGACCACCCAAATCAAAGGCTTTGAACTTGATTTTCCCTATGCACAGCTCTTCGGACGTTGGGTACTGTGTCGGCTGGTGCTGAACTAATCTCTTCACCCAAAAAAAAAAAAAACCCCTTAAATCTCCCAAAAAAATTTGAAAGTTTATACTTTGAGGAGTTACTAATAATTAATAATAATACTAACCTCGTCCTTCAACATGTGAAGCAAGGTGGTCTTTCCGGCATTATCTAGCCCTAGAAACAAGATCTTCGCTTCCTTTTGCCACAGACCCAGCGATGCAAGAATTCCGTAGAACCAATCAACCAAAAACATCCTCCTGTTTTCTTTCTTTCTAATTAATTTTCTCGAGAAAATGAAAAAAATTTAAACTTACGAAAGATTCCGCCGAAAAATCGCAGGTCAGTGGAGAGAAAACGAGGGAATTCGCCGGAAAGTTGTTTTCGTTTCTAGGGATTTTTTTTTTTTTTTTTTGGGTTGGAATTTTCAAGGGCAGTTTTATTATGTATATATATGCCGAAAGGGAAGCGTGAAAAAAAAGGGCATTACTGGCGACGGGTTTGGCCGGTGACGGGAGGTGGGAATTTGGTGTCGTTTTTGTTGCTGACGTGGGGGGTAATGAGAATAGCCGGTTGGTGGACTTATGAGCTGAGGTGGAGTAATGTGATTGGATGGTACGCGTCATAATTAATTTGCATTTTTTATTTTTTTTAATTTCTTTTTTAATAAATAGGTATTTGTTTTATTATGCCCGAAAGTTCAAAAGGGTAGGCGTCATTACTTAGCCCCCTGATTTAGAAACTAGTGGTAAGGTCTTGTCTTTGGAGATAGGAACAAAATTAATATAAAAAAAAATTGCTTACATGGACAGCCCTTAAATAATTAAGGATTAATTATCTTACAATTAACTCCACTTAAAAAATAGTAAGTTATGTTCTCAAAAAAAAAAAAAAAAAAAAAAAAAAGATCATCTATTTTGGATGTTGGTTCCATATTTTGTGCAAATAGCTATCACTTTATATAGTTAGATTGCTAGTAGCATGATAGAAACTAATCAAAATCAATACTATTTTTATTTATTTTTATTAGTATTTCGGGAAAAAAAAATTGCCGTTGATCAGAAGATTCATAATTTTTAGCACAAAGGTGCAAACCGTGTTGAATTAATAAATTTCTTAATTTAGAGAAAACAAAGCTCATAAGTTCATAAAATTGGAGTCCATGGTGATGATCTCATTGACCAACTTCATAGGTGAGAACAATAAGACTTGAAATTTAGGCCAAGTTGAGAAAAATAACGTCCTTAACGAAACTACAAGTTGAATGTGATCAAATCTATCAAAATGAATATGAGAAATTTATTCAGGTTCCATAAACAACAATGCTGCTCAACAGACGAAGTCAGAGTTTATTAAAAGAAAAAAAAAAAAAAAAAAATCACTGAGGAAGTACAAGCTTTTTAAGTTCCACAATAACCACAATGAATAATGAAATAAAATGTTGCCCAAATTGTTAATCCACCAACCCAATCAATATCAAATAAAAAATCTCTGTTTGGATATAAACCGTAGAGTCAAATGCACTGCAGAACAAGCAGCAGAAAATAAAATACAGATAGCCAAAATGTTATATATGATACCCCTCTCCTAATCTTCTTCTTCTTCTTCTTCTTCCTCTCTATTTCTTCCCTAATTGATGTATTGAGACATCCACTTGAACCCTTCTCCATATCCCATCTTCCGGACAATGCTGCACATGAAGACCTCAAGAGGCCGGACATTGGACTCCGTGAGGTTGACCTTTCCCTTGCCGGTTGTGAAGTTAGTCAGGCCCAGACTATAGCGCAGCTCGTCTTCTGAAGCCGCATAAGGGATGTCAATCTTGTTGCCTAACACCAGAAAGGGGACATTGGCAAGGGACTCGTCAGAAAGGAGGCCGTCCAACTCCTTCTTCGCCTCCGCAAACCGCTCTTTGTCGTAGGCATCAACTAGGTAAACAACTGCATCCACCTGTTTAAGGAAAGAGAAAAGAAAGGACAACATGTGGAGTTTAGCGCTTAGGCATGTCTTTGCATGAAGTCGTTAATAAAATTTCGTAATAACTTTAGGAATAGAATAAGGGATATTCATATATCTCTGATTGTAAATAAGGTCTTTTGACATATAAGAAAACTAAGTTTTTCACCAATCTTGAATTAATTCGGGAAAGATACTATCTATCACTATTTACTGATATGCAATCACCATAAGGATTGTCGAGTAGCAATGCAGGACTCAACTGTCATAACAATGCTCTTTGTTGAGACATTACAGTTCAAAGTGCATCCAAAACAAGAAGCCTTTGGCTATGCAATGGGTTATTTAATTAGAAAAACTTATCATAAAGCCATCACCGTGATAAAGAAGCCATCGTATATCATGTATGGAAAGCTACTATTAAACACCTCCAGAAAAACAGCAAAACAAGGTGTTTATCAGCAAAACTTCCATTGTTAGTGTTTGCCTCCCATGAAGCAGATAAAACAAGTAACTTTTTATCTGGGATTATGAAGGCAAAAGATTTCAAGATCTCAAAATGCTTTTAACATGCCCCAGAGCTGAATCTACGAAAGAAAAAGCATTTGAATTTTTATTTTTTAATCCTTAACTATTTAATTAATGATAAAATTCTAAAACTCTTATCTAATGAAGTTTCAAGCCATAGTTGAATCTACTGGAGAAAAAGCAATTGAGTTTTCATTTTCACAAACCTAAAAATCAAACTTGTTCAATCCCACAAGCAAAAGTACAAATCTTCAACCAAACAAAACAATCAATCCTACAATTTTCAGATCAATCAAATCAAGCAACGAAACAAATCACATATCACCTCATAAACTCAAATCTCACCAAAATCAACCAAAAAAAAAAAAAACCCCAAATCCAAATCCAAATCTCATAATACCTTAGCGTAGTAATCTTTCCAGACTCGGCGAGCGATCTGGTGGCCGCCCAAATCGAACGCCTTGAACTTAATCCTCCCAATGCTAAGCTCCTCCGATGTCGGGTGTTGCGTCGGCTGGTGCTGCACTAATCTCTGCCCCAAAAACAGTATACATATATATATATTATTATACACCTATATAGGAGAAATTACCGAGAAAAAACAGAGAAAGAAAGAAATGGAGGAAACCTCGTCCTTCAACATGTGTAGGAGGGTGGTCTTGCCGGCATTATCGAGGCCGAGGAAGAGGATCTTGGCCTCCTTCTGCCATAGCCCGAGAGAAGCGAGGACGCTGTAGAACCAATCGAAGAGAAACATCGTCGACGTCGTTTCAGACCCGGATCGGAGAGATCGAATCTGAGGAAGGGGAAAAAGATTTGGGTTGTTTGTCGTTTTTTTTTTTAAGGGGCTTTTTTGTTTTTTAAGGGACAGTTCAGAGGCACAACTGGAAATGGGTTGTAGAGAGAGAAAGAGGAGAGAGAGAGGAGGTGTCAGTTTTTAAGGAAGTAGAGAAAGCATATATCCTTGGGGATGGAGGCTCAACTACCTCCTCCTGGTTCTAATTTTTTTTTTTTTTTTAATTGTTATTATTATTATATTTTACTGAATGGTTGTAATTAAAAAGTTTATTGTCGTTTTTAGAGGAGAAAAATTAAACGACATGTTGTATGTAGCATTAATGAATGGAAGATGACTTGGCGTCATTTATGTGTTTATTACAGAATAATCTTTTCTATACTGTAATAAGGTAATGTTAGCTATTTAATTTAGTTAAGAAAACGACATGTCGTTAGCTGTTTGAACTTTGTTGTCAGCTTCTCCCGTAACATGTACATATTGTCGTTTTAAAGTTTGTTGTCGTTTCTAAAGAGAAGATATGTATATGCCTGGGATGGAGGCTGAGCTACCCCACTCGTTATAGTTCCAATTATTATCACTTATGGTTATTTTTTTAGAAAATCTCAACGAGGAAAATTTATTAAAAGCAAAAGAAAAAATACATCATAAACATAGAGGTTATATTATGTAAAACGAGAAACATCCAAATCAAATAATAAAACTTGAAGCATTATGCCACCAAGTGTAACGACAAGAAACTACACCAAAATTAGCCTCTCTAAAATAATGAGAAATAACAAAATTCATAGAGCTAGCCTTATCAAGAGCATCCACCCAAGCATTCTGAAAAGACCGCGGAACTGTGGAACTTGCACTCCGAAAAAGATGAACTGCACAAGCATAATCACTTTCTAACCAAATGCGCCTCCACTCTTTACTCCAAGCTAACCTAATGGCTATACTAATAGTCCCATCTCAGCTTCTAGAGCAAGGCACTGACAAAAAAAAAAACGCTAAAAGCTCCTAAGAAGAGACCTCTACAGTTCCAAAAGGCTGCACCTCTCCCAGCTAAACCATTCCTCTTAGCAGTCCCATTTGTGTTAACTTTAATTAAAGCTGGCGGAGGAACCCTCCAAACAACAAAATAGATCTTAGGAACTTTTCTATGCACAACCTCAAGACCAAAAATTTTGACAACAAGAAGCTCTTGAAGGGAGTTTCCTGTAACACTAATCTTTAGCCTACCAACTTTACTTAACCGCCATACAAAGAAAACAGAAACTAAAAACCACACCATCCAAAATGATCCTGTTTTTCGAAGACCAAATAGCCCAAAAAAAAGTTTAATTATTTTACAATTACAATTTTGTTGTCGTTCATACCAAAAAAAAAATGTCTCTTGTTGTTTATTATAACAAAGAAAAAGTTTGTTGTCGTTTTAGACGAAAAATGAAAAACGGCATGCCTTGTAGCATTATGAGTGGAAAGATGAGATGGACAAAATAACTCTGGTAGAATACTGATGTTAATATACCATATTACATTTGGTCATCGATGCTGGAGAAGAAGACTGGTGATAAATGTTAAGAAAGTCAAAATAATTTCATAAATTATCGGTGATAATCTAATAAATTACTCGTCCACAACTAATGCCGGAAAATATATTTGTTAAGAAACTCAAATAATATGATAAATAATCTGTGACAATACAACCAGATACTCTCTATTGAGTCTACTAACATTTGGTAAATTATCGATGATGCTTTAATAGATTATCTTTGAATGGCCGGAAAATTTTAACTCTTGACAGACGAGTAGTAGAATTCTGAAAACTCCAATAGGCAACATAACTCCAAAGGTGAGTGTTCCTCAAATTTACTGAAAGACCAAAAGTTAAAAACAAAACAGAGAGGAAGGAAGAAAAAAAAAAAGAAAAGGGTTAATTATAGGGCGGAGGGAGATGGGGCCCACCCCCTGGATTTTTGAGGAATTTTTTTTAGGCCCCTGAAGTTTCATTTTTTACTTTAGGCGCATATAGTTTTTCAAAATTTTTCAAATTTGTTCCCCTCTTAATAAACCAAAGTTGAAATATATCTCTACTAAATCTAATTTTATGTAGTGTTTAGCCCTATCCACACAACCCTCTCAATTGTTGTCTCATATATACTTCTTCTCTAGTTTGTTCTTATTAAAGTAATATTTATTTCGAATGTGTCCCTGCTTAATCATTCTTTTTTATTGTAGCGCTCTCTATTATTAGTTATTCGTATGTACTTTCTAATAATCTTACCACTAAAATATTTATTACTCAATTATGTTCTACACGTGTCTATACATGTATAATATTAACCGAAAACATATTGTAATTGAAAACGTTCATTTCATCAATTCTACTATTTTTTTTTATGAACTAAAAATTTATGAGAATGATGACTTAAAAAAATAATAAACTATTCACAAAATTTTATATTTAAACAAGAAATTTAATAGACTAAATATGTATGTGCTTAACATACGTTTCCAATTAGTTAATAGTATTAGGAGTTAATATTTTGAGGGTTATTAATATTTTTCATGTTCTTAATTTATGTCCCTCCTGAATTAAAATCTTGGCTCTCATGTTCATTATCTATTGGATGAAAAAAGAAAATTCACAAGTTGTGGTATTTGCATAAAAGTTGATATATAATAACGTTTTTATTCTTTGTTAATCACCCTTCTATCATTTTTTTAATCATAAGTATCCACATAAAAAGGATATATACAAAATGATATTATCTCAATGATTATAATATGGACAAGAAATATTGTTAAATTAGAGATTAGAGATACATGGCTGGTGGAAAAGACAAATATCTCTTAAATTGTATGGGTCTTAGATTTTTATCTCTTACACTTAATTAATACACTTTAATTAAAAAATTATATTAGTTAAAAATGTATTAATCAAGAGTAAATAATAAAAATCTCACAACAATACTAGGATAAGTTCACCAATTTTTTTATGAGAAAAGAAGATGAATATTTCTTATAGTATACAAGTCTGAATTTTTATATCTCACTCTTAATTATTTAGTCAAATTTCAAACAACTATGGCCCCGTTCACTTCGCTTATTCGAGTTTAGAATTCAAGTTGAGATGTGATTTTATGTGAGAGCTTTTTACTGTAGTAAAAAAATTAAATGTGATTATTTATGAGAGCTTTTTACTGTAAGTGAACAGGCCTATATTAGTAAGAGTGGTAAATTCAGCAATTTTTTTCAAGCGGGCCTCATGGGCCAATGGCTCATATGCAGCCCAAGGGCATAACGGTAATTGAGTCGGCGGAAGGGCTTAAGGAGCACTCTAGGGCTTTTCTCCGAACCGGGTCATCCTAATAAAGAGGCCAACTTTCTTCGCCGAAGCAAAACCCTAGCAGAGCGCGTCGCATTCTCTCTCTCTCTCTCCTCATTTTACAGGTACTTTCTCTCTCTAATCTTCATCCTCCTCAGCTTAATTTCACTTCCTCTTCACGAATTTCTCTACGGTTCTCAAATCCACTGTTTCTGTAACTAATCAAATACGTATCTGCTTTTTATTTTCGCTTCGTGTTGCAGAGAAATGGCGAAGTCGAAGAACCACACCGCCCACAACCAGTCTTTCAAGGCTCACAAGAACGGCATCAAGAAGCCCAGGAAGCACCGCCACACGTCCACCAAAGGGGTAATTTTTTTTTCATTTTTAATTATTTTTTCCTCGTTAGATTTCGTCTAAATATGTTTATTTATTATTTTTTCAGATGGATCCCAAGTTTTTGAGGAACCAGAGGTACGCGAGGAAGCACAACAACCAGAAGAACCAGTCGGGCTCTGAGCAGGAGTAAATGGGACGCCTTGAAATTAGCAGTTTTGGGGGTTTTTTTACTTATCTGTTTAGGATTTACTGTATTTGAACATTATGGGTGTCATTTACTGTTTTAATTGTTCGTAGTAGCATTGTAATCCGATGTTACTCTATTGGGTTTTGTTTTTTAAGATTGTGGTTTCAGAGTAATGGAAATACTTTCTAGATTTTGTTAACTATATATTTGTTCTTCCTGAAATGTATGTTTATTTATTTATTTTGGCTCTATCGTTTTTGTTTGTTATATGTGGAGGCTATTATGTGTTTGTTTTTTTGGTATTTGGTGCATCGGAATTTTGGGCATTTTTGCTTATTTGAGAATGATTTAGATTGCTCCAACTGTTGGGCGGGAGGAGCTTGGTCTGTGTTGGTACATATTTGAGGATTATTGGTTGTTGACCCTTGAATATATGGTGTTAATGAGGGTAATTTGTGTTCTTTTTTTGGTATTTGGTGCATCAGAATTTTGACATTTTTACTTGTTTTAGAGTGATATAAATTGCTCCAACTGTTGGGCACGAGGAGTTTGGTCTGTGTTGGTAATATCTTGAGGATTTTTAACTGTTGAAACTTGATTAAAGGGTGTTGATGAGGGTGATTTGTTTCGGTTTGCCTAATTATCATATGGAAGATATTGGTTCGATTAAAAGTATTTGTTGCCCATTGTATGGTTGCAAGGAAGGAAAACAGAATTAAGTTTTAATGTTTAGTGTGGAGATGCAAGGCAAGGGGAAGAAATTTTTATTTGTGTATTCAATTATCATTCTGTGTTTAGTTGGTTTATTAATCATAGGGGATAATGAAATCTTTTGATATTATAATTTAATGAAGTGAATATGTTCCATTTCAGTTTTTAATTTGAGTTGAGTTGTGATTTTATGTGAGAAGTTTTTATTATAGTAAAAAAATTAGATGTGACTGTTTTTGAGAGTTTTTTACTATAGTAAAATTTGAATTATAAACTCGAATTGGTGAAATGAACGGGATTTGAAATTGAGATTTTTGAATCCTCCCCTTAATTCGTGCCCTTGTCTAAACTTTCCTACCGTACTAGGCTCTAAAGATGCTTGAGGGTTGGGTTGGGAGATCTGCCTATATATATACCATTGTTTTATTGGATTTTTAGGCCTTGTTCATTTCACTGATTCGAGTTTTCAGTTTTAGATTTTTACAGTAAAAAACTATCAAAAAATGTCACATCTAACTTTTTCTACTACAGTGAAAAGTTTTTAGAAAATGTCACATCTCAGCTCGAATTGAAAACTCGAATCCGCGAAGTGAATGAGTCTTTAGTTTATTGGCATTAAGATTTCAGGTTAAACTCATAACATTAGAAAATGATATTAGCTGTGGAAGTATTAGAATAGATGATTTGCTGATTTGAAATTTTCAACTTTGATTGCTGTTCAAAAAATTGAAGATGAGATAGAACTGAGGTTGCGTTTCTTGATAATGAAGCATTGACGACGACACAGCTGTTTGTGGGAGTTAAAACTATATAGTAAAAGCTTTGTTGTGTCCTAAAGTAAACAGGACTAGTATGGATGGTTTGGACAAATAGCCACGACAAACTGTTTTGTTGTTGGCCTAAATAACGTTTGTTAGTTCGAATCATAAATTAAGTTTTTTTATAGTGTTTTTTTTTATTATAAAAATTCAAATTTAACTCGTTTTATTAAAGTATTTTCTCTTATAACTCGAGTACTCAACTAGAATTAGAACGAGCGAAACAACAAAGCCGTAGTTAATATGTCCATTAATTCTCTGATTAAAAAAAAAGCTGTATAAAAATGTTACAAGTATTTACCTATGTGGTCTTTTACAAAGCTTCTACAAAAGACTTTGCTCTTACTTAGTTATATCCTAAAAGGGATTGATCAGTTTTGATTCAATTGGTTATTTCAGTTTTGACTTTTTTTTGTTACAGTTTTTCTCTTCGATGAATTCATTTTTTAACTCAAGTTTAACGGGCGAAATGAATGGGGCTGTTTGACCCTTTCTAGTTCAATTTTTATATATTTATAAATTAATATATAAATATATGTATCTTAGGTGAGAAGAGCTAGGATAGGCTAGCTAAACAGCTCAAGGATATTGTGCTTAACTCTGCATTAACGGATTCAAAAACAGCTGAACAGCTCACTATTATTAAGCCTCTAATCAGAATAGTTGTCCAAAACTAGGAGAAAACAATTTTCCAAATTTTCCAGTTATGAATACAGGTATTTTTGCAAGCCACTAAGAAAATTACGAAACCAACGAACTAAGATCCAAAATACTTTATCCCTAACCGTCCCCAAGCCGCTCAAGTTGTTCGTTCTTTTCTCGGAGATGAAAATTTGTTGATCTCTTTCGCCTTGATATGTGTACTGCCTTGACACTCCCTATCACAAGCAAATTTCTCCAAATAAATTATCTTTGATTCTCGAGAAGCTTAGACTGCAACTGGTTCACTTACTGGGCTAGAAACTTGTGCTTTGACCTGCCCAAACATTTAAAGAGATAATGGTGAAAAACATACAAGGAAATGCGTATCCTGAATGATGTGATCCCTAAGCTTACAAGTTCTTTAAACCACTATCATATTCTCTTACCATTGGAGTAGATAAAAAAGTAACAGAGAAGTTTGGAAATGCTAACCAAAATAACCACAGGATGTAAGAAAGGCTCACCTTTGCTGATTTGAACAGTTCATCCAACACTTCGGACAATGTTGGGTGTGCGTGAACCGCAAACTTAATGTCCTGCAAGGTATCAAATATACATTCTGTTGATTACCAGTTGTATGATAATGAATGCGAAGTAAAGGTAAAGACGTGATTCATATCTAATTTAAAGGTTATTAAAGATGAGGACAAGTAACGCAAATACTGAATGTTTAGATGATCCGTAGTTCTTATTAGTATGATCCATATCTAACTTAAGTGCGGCAGTAAGTGATGAACGATGGATGTTAGAGCCGATGTACAAAAATTTGTGGCCGGACATTACTAGTACTGAATTTGGAGTGTGATTCATCACCTGAATACGCGTCCCTAGTGCAATTGCATTTGATGCTTCGTGAATGAGGTCTGCTGCATGCAACCCGAAAATGTGAACTCCAAGAATCTCTCCATTGTCAGGTCTGTATATTAGCTGCAAGAAAACACAGATTTCAGAAATAATATATGTGTTTTTCTTTTTCTTTTTTAATTAAAAAAAAGTTCCAAAGGGAAGTTGTGATCTAATGAACGTAACAACATGTTTGTTGATTAAGAAAAACACAACAATTTCTTCTCTCTACAACAAACAAAGCAACGCCTTTTTAGTTAGTCATACTAATTACGTGAACAACAAGAGAGAATACATGTTTCATACCATGTGATACATCACACTAATTATACATTGTTCGGTGAAGAATTTTATCAAATTTAGTAAACAGATTTCTTTTGGAAAGAGAATAATGACCGTCAGCAGATTGTGACACAAAACAACATCTAAAAATCAGAATTCACTGACCATACAGCAACCGTGCTTTTTTTTTTTTTTTTTTCTTTTGTATAGGAGTTGGGACAATGGAAAAAAGCGTAATACTAAAATAGCGTTTGGTTTGAGGGTTCTAGACCCAGAATCATGTTTGCAAAAAGCAAAAAATAGTTTTGGTTCAGGGTTTGAAAACCAGTGTTTGGTTTGAATGGTTTTGGTTCAAGATTTAAACCCTGATGTGAACCGTGCTTTTTTTTTTTTTTTTTTCTTTTGTATAGGAGTTGGGACAATGGAAAAAAGCGTAATACTAAAATAGCGTTTGGTTTGAGGGTTCTAGACCCAGAATCATGTTTGCAAAAAGCAAAAAATAGTTTTGGTTCAGGGTTTGAAAACCAGTGTTTGGTTTGAATGGTTTTGGTTCAAGATTTAAACCCTGATGTGATGTTTTAAACCATAATTACTCCTGGTTTTAAAACTACCCCCCCCCCCCACACTCCCCGC